TGCTGTTAGCCTCACCCAGCTGCCAGATTAGCGTGGCCCAAATATCAGGACGGGCTACAGCAGAGGCAGGCTGTTGGGAGGCACTGTTTTATTGCTAATTTTCTGATTATTAGCCGTTCCGTGATGCGCCTCTCGCTGCTGGCACGTGACGCCCGAGACGGGGCCCGTGGCTCTTCCTCAGCGAGACGATGTGTGTTGTGTTGGCCGACGCTGTAAATTATAACCCGGAGACGCTGCCTATTTTTACATACTTCAAGCCCTTTCTGTTCAAGGATGTTTTCAAACAGCCCCCCCCCTCTCTCTCTCTCGTCATGTGACACCAGAAAATTATAGCTCGCTCGCCGGAGACAAATCAATCGCGGCCAATTGCGTTGGGCCAGGGGCGGCTCCGCCACTAACATCTGACAGGGATGCGCTCGGGCGCCCATGACGTCACCCGGTCCTGGCGCTCCGGCACTCAGACCAGGGATGCTCTGAAGGCAAGACTGCAGCATCTTCCTCTCGCGGAGCGGCTCCCACCAGATCGCATCTTTCCTGCGCGTTTTCGTTTCCGGCGTTTCTCTGCATCCCGTCCTTTTCTCCTCCAAACCCACCCGGCCCGTCTCTCAGCGCAGCCCCATGCGAGAGCTCAGGACACAGCGGCACCAGCGTTTGCGCCCCATCGCTCTCCCCTCGCTCGTACGCGCCTCCCTTGCCTCTTTGTGAGGGGCTCTCCGCCGCGCTATCCGCAACGATTTGCGCCTTCGCTTCCCGTCGTTCCGTCTGGCTCCCGAGCCGCAGGCAGCAGAGGAAGAGCGTCACTCCCGGGGAGAAAACGACCGCTGAACGGGGAGCCGCGGCACAGGTCGGGAAATCTGCGATCCAGCTCCGCGCTCCAGTCCGAAGAGGGGAGGTCGCGATCGCGAAGCGCGCTGAGGCTGAGCCGTGTCAGAGGAAGACAGACGCATTTCATTCATCGGATTCCACTCAGACCTGACGTCTCTTCAAGGCAGCAAGAAGCAGCGCTGTTTAACAAATAAGCCCGGCACTCTGCTGTTCTAGCACTGCGTCTTGAAGCGGAGGGTAGGCGAGCCCTGTGCGGGGAGAACCGCAGGTCCAGCTGCACAGCTTCCTAGAACACTTCGCTCGCGCCGGACTCTTGCCTCGCTTTGTCGCCGTGGGGATAACTGGGGGTTCTCGCGTTTCTTTCGGGGGTCCCTGAGTGAAGCGACTATGAAAATGATGGCCGGAGGGGCAGTCCAGCAGAACGGGATTTTCTCGAATTCTCACCACCACAGCCAGCAGCCCCACATGGAGTCGGACCCCCCCGATTCGCGCAAGAGGCCGCTGGAGACCCCGACAGAGGCCAGCAGCACCAAGCGCACCAACACCGGAGGTAAGGGCTCCGCGTGGAGGAAAACACGGTTAACCCCGGGGGGGTCGGGGGGGGAGTTGACTGTGCAGGCTATTGTTTGAAAAAAAAAAAGATTAAGTCGTGGTCGTGTAAAACCAACATACGCATCCTGGGAGGATAGGGGGTTGGTTTAGTGGTACGAATGAAGCGAATTCCCTGGTGCAGATCGTGTTCGCGGTTTAATCGGGTTTAAACGGGTGTTATCCGCAGAACGCGGCGCCGCGCGCACCACGCAGCACGCCGAACCGGCCCCGAACCCCGAGCGCCGCGCTCGCGGGAGGGTGCGATTTCCCCCCTCGCGGCGCCGGGAGCCCGCTGTCCAGGCAGCCCGAAAGACCCATCTCCCCCCGGCGGGGGCTGTGCCGCAGGTGACTGGGCGTCTGCGACAAGAAATCGGGGCGTTCGGAGTGTTTAACACGGGGCCGCAGCCGACAGCCCCCATCGGCAGGTCCGGCCCGGACAGGAGCGCCAGCACGCCCGCCGAGCCCGGGACAGTGTGTTGACAGATGCTGACATCGTCTCTGGCGTGTGTGCGCATTCGTTCCCACTGCCCTGAGGTGGTTATTCATCCGTGCTGCCTCCTCCACCTCACAGCGCACCGTTCGCGCACGGATTGTATCCTACATTCGGGCTTCACACTGCATCAGACCGGCAAGAGAATCTAGAAAATAAATACAAATGCGAACGCACAATTACAGAGCAATCTGGAAAAGGGCAGAAAACGAATCACACTCGCAACTGAGTAAAAACTGCGAAAATAATTCGTCGTGTAATGTGCAGACTAGTTGAAACGTCCGGGAAATGAAACAGTGCACACGCAGGCGCTAGACTGTAATGAATAGAAACTAATGGGGTAAATTAAATGAGCGTTTCATTTCCAGGCTAGAATTTTCCCCGTTTTAACGTTTAATACGCGGCTTTCAGCAGTCATAGCGCTTCTCCCTGCGGGGAAAGGGAATAGATGTGATTTAGCGCACCATCGTGCGGAGTGTATGTACGTAATTAAATTAAAAACTTTACAAATCAGTACTTATTTCAAAGAAAAATGACACGACCAAGCATCATATAAATATTAGTTACAGCGGCAATCACCATATTTTAAACAAAACATTAATGAGTTTAGAGTGGAGAATATATTTAAATAAACGATCCAACAGGAGCTCGGTGTCGGAGAAAATAATAGAGATGGATTATTATTGTTCTGTCGAATTGTAAAATATTAACAAGATGCATTTTGCCTATTTTTTGTCATTTTAGATTATCTAAAATTCGGGAGCTCTATACAGGTACATGAAACATCTACATAGTCAGAACTAACGGTATTTCTTACTTGAAATGTGATTGCTGGTGTTGATTTCTTAGTATACTCCATTATAATACCCCGTCTAGTCCACGTTTAATATGTTGCGCTAGATAAAATTAAAACTGTTCAGGTTTGGTAAGAGCTACATCCCTGTACCAGGCCTTGAAAAAAAGCATTCTGGCTTGTGATTGTAAATCATTAATTAGCTTTCTGGTTTTACAAACCACACACTTTCACATCTCAGGACTCAGGTGCGGACTCATCAAGAGGACCAGCTGTCGGGTCGCCAGGCTCAACACCAGCAGCCCAGCCGACGTTATAAATGCTGTTTGCGCCTCAGATACGCGACGCTCCGCGCAGCCTAATAAACCTTCATTTAACGAACGAGTGACGCGGAGCCCTCTAATAACAAAGTCGAAGCCCACGTAAACTTGTAAACACTGTAATCAGTTTTAACGTTGCTGGGAAGGATTCTAGTGCAGACACATTGGGTTTAGAAAAGAATACATAAAGCCGAATATTATTATTATTAATATAATAAAAACAATAATAATAATAAACAGTTGTGTTAATTGGATTTTTTTATCTATTCCCCTACGGGGAAATGAAGAACCGGAGAAATACAATACATACAAAATACATACAAAACGAATTTTAAAGACAAAGGATGTTTTAAAGGATGTTCTCCAAACGAGAGCCCGGCTCTGTCCTCCAACGTTACAGAACAGATTGTTCAGATCTTTTTGAGACGGGCAGGGAGATAGATGACCCCCTTCCAGCTCGGACGATGTCTGCCCGCATCCAAACGCCGCATGCCGCATGATGATCGAATTGAAATTGTGGATTTGAATCAAAACGAGTTGTTGGATCGGTACGAAGGCTCTCGCCGCTGTTCGCCGCCTCGCTGCCTCGTCTCACTCGCGCCCCGTCGCGCGGCGGCGGACACGAACCCGACTCCCGCTCCCGACCCGCGGGCGAGCAGGCCTCAGCCGCACCTGCGCGGTCTGCAGCCCAGGCTGAGCACGAAGGGGCGCGCTTGCCGTTACATAAAGGATGGTGTTACTCATCGGCTGTCTAAAGAGTCTCCCTCCAAACCAGAAAGACAACGCCAAATGTTGGTCAGGTGAAATAGATAAGCATGGAGCGATAATATTACGGACCGTTACAATCAACGTACATGAATGAAAGGGGTGGGCTTTTGCTGTCCTCCTCGCAAAACGCGCTTGTATTTTGAAGCTCAACACTATTCAGAAATACTGTACATCATCACCAACGGACTGCACCTTACCCGTGACACAACAGTTTCTATAGAGCATATATATTTATTTCTTAATGGCGTGAGAGGGGCTAGTGATTGTATACATAGTGACGCATCCCCGTATCGCATAAAATTATATACAAAAATAAAACGAATCAAGGCCACAGAGAGACCCGTATCGCAGTTCAAACGTCCCTCCCTGAAGGAGAGCTAGGGGTCCTACAGAGCAGCCCCGAACTCAGAGCAGTGCACCAGTCCACAGTTTGGCCATGTTGCTGCAGGAATGACTGGCAGGGGACTGAGAGCCAGGGGTGTGTGTGTGTGTGTGAGAGAGTGTGTGTGTGTGAATGTGTATGTGAGAGTGTGTGTGTGTGTGAGAGTGTGTGTGTGAGTGTGTGTGTGAGAGAGTGTGAGTGTGTGAGTGTGTGTGTGTGAGAGTGTGTGAGTGAGTGTGTGTGTGTGTGAGTGTGTGTGTGAGAGTGTGTGTGAGTGTGTGTGAGTGTGTGTGAGTGTGTGTGAGAGAGAGTGTGTGTGTGTGAGAGTGTGTGTGTGTGTGTGTGTGTGTGAGTGTGTGTGTGAGAGTGTGTGTGTGTGTGAGTGTGTGTGAGTGTGTGTGTGTGTAGGGGGGAGGTGACAGATGCTGTTGCACTCAGAGCCCTTCATGATGCTGGGCTGCAGACACTACTGTCAACCTGGATCACTTCACTTGCATGAAGAAAAGGGAAGAAAGTTGGGAGGGAGAAACAAAGCGTTGAATAAGAACCGAACCTGACGAGCGAGGCAGAGCCAGTGCAGCCTGCATGTGTGGCCTCTCCAGCAGCCCTGCTGTATGTCTGAGAGGCGTGAATGCAGGCTGTAGAGCCGCCCCTCCACAGTAATGCAACACAGTACATTCACAGGGCCGTGCCTGCTGGAGGTCTCGTACATTTCCTTGGCTGGGAGCAGACTGGCCGTTTGCACACTGACAGGTGTAGTAACTGCAGCCGGCAGCTCACTTCGATCTACAACGACGTTCTGAGGTCCTAACGCTGATCGGGGCGCAGCACGTATTCAGGGCCCTGTCTCAAGGGGCAGAAACAGTTCGCCAGTTGGGCGGTCGAGCTCGGAAGGGGTGGTGTTGCCGGGGAACCGGAGATGGCTGGCACGGCGCAGGCGGACAGGGCGCTCGATCAGCATGGGTGACGCAGCGAGGGAGTGGGAACGCTGTGCTCCAGGCCAGCGCTACTCAAAAACTGTAGCACAAAACCAGGCTTTCAGAGAATCGCCGCTTTCTGTCCTTGAGTTGCCTAACAGCTGAGTTTGCAAATGCAGAAGCCCTGACACTGAGAGAAGCAGACTTGATGTAGCTCTGGCAGGGCTGAGGCGGAACACCTAGAGATGCAGACACAAACACATCCCGACACCGAAGCCTGGTCTCGTGCATCTACTGAGGATCCGAGAGAAGGGCTCAGATTAGTGTACACAGGGAGCTGTTATGATAGCACCCTTTTCATGGTAAGCAAACTGAGGAGAAACTTCTTAAACTTCCGGGGTATTTTTTTAAATTTCTATGTTCAAAAACACGTAAGCCGAAAGTCTAAACAAGCAAGCGGATCAATCAATGGTAATTGCATTTTCTCCTTTTATATTTAGACTTTAGACTTGTGCAGGGCTTCAGTGTTCATTCAAGAATGGATCATTTCTCTTACTAGTCCCACTCAGAAGTGCAGGTGCCCTGCAGATCCCAGTCCCTTCTGCCCTGACAACGCAGCATGACCCTCTAGAGCAACACTCTTATCTCCTGGAAAGTCATGGAGTTCTTCTGTGGTTCTTTCTACCTGAGCTCCTAATGACTTCAGAGACTCAATTACTGCCACTGCCGCTCAGAAAGGCAACTTCTTCACTGAGTAAAACTGAGCACCCTGTGAAACCTGTGGCTCACAGGACCAAGAGAGATCCCAGATCGTAGCAGACATCCGTACTGCCCTGGGATCTATCCCGCATTCACAGATAACTGGGCCAGTATCTGTTGTCCTCAAGGTCCTCTATAAAACGTCTCTCCCCAATTACTCTAGACTAAATATCAGCAGTCCTTTTTATTATTTATAAAAAACAGACTGGGCTTCAGCTCCACTCAAGAAGAAAACTGATGTCTGTTAATCTGCATAATTTGTTTCCTCTCACCTGTCTCGTTTTGAATTGCTGCTCTAGAGCTGCTTTCTTAAAACAGGTGAGCAAAAGGAAACACCCGCGCTCCGCTGCCTGTGGAACAGTGTTCGAAGGCACTGTCTAGGAAGCAAGCAAGTTCCTTCGTGTACTTCCTGTCACGTGACAGGACACCACTTCACGTGCTTCCTGTCACATGGCAGGACATCAAGGTGCAGGATGGGACCTTACAGTAGAAGGTGCTTCTGTCCTGAATGTTGGCTGTACTCTCCAGGGGCATTTCGATTACTATCACAGTCAGGAAATGCCGAGCCAATGATTGTGCTAAATGTTCCCTGAGCAGATAAAGGACTTTATGTCCTCGTTAATCTGGAACAAACAATTAACTAATAAAATGCAATCAGTGAAAACCTGGCAGAAGCAGGGGGGCTGGGTTAGGTTAAGTCATGAGAACAGCCTGCGCTCTAAAAAAATAGAAAATGCTAGAAAACAACAACTGCAGTTTCACTCATCACAAATGTCCCGAATGCCATCCGTCACAAATTATACCGAAAGGTGAAAAGAATGACTCAGATGAAATGCCCAGTGATTCTGCTTGTCTTTTTTCATTATATATTTCATTTTGGTTGATTATTTAAATATGATGTGTGCGTAATAGCCCATTTTGAGTATCTGAGATCCTGTTGAAATGAACGTTAAAAAATATTTGTCTTAAATGCTTTTTCGTGGTATCGATGTAGGATGCTTTAATCAGAAAGCATTACGTTTGAGTTTAGAAGCAGTGAGAAGAGAGGGGGAAAGGAGCTGAAACACCTATACAGGCCGGGCTATCAGACCCTCAGTGGAGACCTGTCTGAGTGTGTGTGGAGAAAGACTGTCTGCAGCTTTTAAATACTCTATTTGTGAGAGGCCAATTCATCTCCAAATCACAGACAGTCTGCTTCAGTTTTCAGGTCGCAACAGCAACAATGTCAGAAGCAGGAGAGTTTAGCGTTGAGAAATCGCTGCCTGACGTTTCTCTTCCAACCCAGAAAATGATGAGAAGATTTTCAGCAAGAAGGCATCATTTGGCACAAACATTGACCTCTTTTTCTCTTTTATTGATCTTAAACCCGTTCTGGGCTCATTGCTGTTGGTACTGCTCTAATCCTGAAGTGCCTTAGTCAGACCCGGTTCAGGATTGTAAATCTCTTACCGAAAGCTGCCATGAAGGCAAAACGTCAGTCTTTTGAGCCCGGCTATACCCAGGGCCCTGTTCTGCCAACGAGATTAGGAGTAGGAGCAATATGTATGCAGATTTAAGCAACTGAAAATCATTGCAGGCAAAATTGATCACTATGCAAGGTGCCTCTTCAAAACACTCTCTTCGTAAAAGACAGCCAGCGAAAAGGCAAAGTCAGGCCTAGAAGATCATCAGTTACATGGGCTGAAAGCACAGTGCGTTACTCCCCCCAGCCTCCATGATAATGATAGCCCACTGTATCATTAGTCCTGGGGTTTCTGGTGTCCATTTGTGCAGCTGGGAGAAGCACAGACACAGTCAGCCTCTGTAGTCTTAACCACTACTCGACATGCCAGTGTATGTCAGGGCTAAAACTGTGAAACATACAGGCCACCCGAACGTAGAACACTGCTTCAACACAAAAACTTGGAAGTGACATAAAATCGGTTGGGCAGCTTTTACCAGTTCAGGAAGATGGGGAGCTTTGTGTTTATTTCCCTGCGGAGCCTGAAATAAACACGTCCCTCCCGCTGCGCTGACAGAGCGTGGCCTCACCTTGCGAAGAGCCGTTCCTCCGTGCAGCTCCTACCACAGGTGGCAGCTCTTTAAAAAGGCCGTGATGCAGATTCTGCACATCTGGATGAGCTCGTCTGCGCAGGCAATAGAAAAGTAGGAAGTTTTGTGTCGAATTTCCTGGAGCTGTCGGCAGTCCTCGGAATGGCCGGCTCTCTTTTCCTGCTGCTTCCATCTCGCTCAGCTGAGCTTGATCAGAGGCCGAATCTGCTTCTGTCTGCACACCCGCCTTCCCTGTACCCACCCTACAGCAGGGCAAGACAGAGAGAGTGTAAATGAGAGACCCTGGCTCAGACAAGGCGTCTTGCAGGAATTGTTTCCTGAATTAGAAAACCCAAGAGGCCTAGCCCACCGAGACGTCATTTGTGTTTTACAAATAAGGTGCTGGGGCAATCAAAACGCCAAGAAAGTACGCCGCACTCCTCCCCCAACCCCAAACGAGAAGAAGCCCAGAAAAAGAAGTGTGAGACTGCCGAGAAGAGAAAAGTATGTCTGTGTCATATTATTTATTCATTTCATACCTAATTAGACGATAAAATTAGACTCTTCCAAGTTAAAAATAGGTCACTCCTCTGAGCTTCACGAATCTGGGTCGCTGCAGATGTACACTGGTGTTCAAGCACTTCCTAGCCTAAGCCGGGTTCGGGACACAGCTCAGGAATTAATCCTGAGTCCCCTTTTAAGACGAGATTTTATAAAAGCCATTAAAAGTCTTCCTAAGCAATGCTTGCTCTGGAAGAGTCGAGGCCTGCGAGCGTTGTCTCTCCTTCTTGTTTTCCTGGGCTTTTCTTAGCATCTTTGGTGTCACAAATCAGACTCTAGTCTCGGCACTGACAGAGCCTGCTGCACAGTGTTTAACCAGATGACAGCGAATCGGATTTTGAATAAAAAGACTTTGTGAAATGCCCCCCCCCAGTACCTCCAGCCCACCGCAGCCTGGATTCCTTCTGCCTCAGTGCTGACCTGTGGCGTTGCGCTGGGTCGATAAGCAGATATCGTGCACTCCTCTCTTAGAGAAGGGCTTCCCAGCTCTCGTCCTGCAGACCTCCACACCTGCGGGTGGAACAGAACCCAGAATGTGTGTTAGGGTTCCTAGAGCCGGTGTTGGGGAGACCCTTGGTTTAAAGCACTAGAGTCTATTTCCTTGTTCTTTTTCTCCCCTGTTTTTTTTTTTGCAGCAGTCCTTCCAATACATGTATTTGGTTTACAAAGTTTGTCAATTTTTTTACCATGTCCAAGTAGAACATGATTGACAATGTCATTGACAGTCTGTAATAATAATAATAATAATAATAATAATAATAATAATAATAATAATAATAATAATAATAATAATAATAATAATAATAATAATGCAGGGTGAAATAGCTGCTGGATACAGACTTGAAACCCATTTTCCTGCTGTTCCTACTGTTCTCACATTCTGGGTTCAGAGTGGTGTCCGAAAGAGACCTGTGTGGGATACTGAGATTTATCTACCCCGGCAAAAGATTTAAAGTTTCACCTAAAAGGCAGATTTAAAATCCTATTTAAGTCCACAGCCTTTAGGGGAGTGTCCTTGATTAATCGTACTAAAGTAATTAATAATTCAAGTATCGGCCTTCTATTCCAAGAACGATGTCAGTTTTAAAATGCAGCACGCAGGCTGACTCGGCCTCGTCACCTTCGTCAAGGGCAGGACTCATGTCCTGGGTATCCCCCGTGTCTACTGGTTTTCTCTTCTGCCCAGTTCTTCAGCACTGAAGGTTCTTTTATGTCCATTTTCTGCCTTTTTTCAAATTCGCTTTCAGCTCTTGAAGAGCTGAACGAGGTCTGGAACTGGCACGAGCGCTTTGCTGGTTAGTGAGCCACAGGGCTGCCCTCCCTCAGGTGTACGAGCTGATAGAGTGTCCTTCCCACCTGTGTCTGTTCATCACCAGTTCAGCCCCATTAATGCTGTTCAGTCACAAATCAGGGAGCTAATTCTTAATGAGCATATAGAAGTCTGCATGCTGAAACTGCTGAAAGGAATGCCCTTCATTAGGGTACTTCCTTAGGGGACACTGAGGAGTGAGAGCAGGAGAAATCTAAAACAGCAAACCAGCAGATGAGTTATAGACCCCAGTCAGCAGTGGTAACCAGCTGAAACCAACACTATCTAGGTTAGAGACCTCTTTAAATGTAAAAGAAAGTTCTGAAGGCCTTGAACTTTATCCTGTTCAAACAGTAGTCTTTGTGTGACGTTTCTGATGCTTTTCAGAGCCAGGAAAGAATTGGAATGGATTAAAACAGTTGGTAAAGGTGGTAAGATGGAGGCATTATAGAGCTAATTTTAGAACTAATGTCTTTTTTATTAAAGGCATGTGAAATCATTAGTATATCCCTGAAATACAAGAGAAGTGGCTTGTTTGTCTGTTCTGTGGTTCTCTGGTACCAGATAATGCCCAACCCTACTTGTTTCTCAAAGACACATTGTGACTGTAAGTAAAGGTGGAAACCTGGGTGTCACCTGGCAGCATTCTTCGGTTCAAATTTTCCCTGAAGCTAAAATATATGTGAGGTGACTAGTTCAACCAAAATCATCAAATTTAGGACCAAAATCCCTTTGGTGTTGCGATGTTAAAGGTTGTACAATTAGAACTTGCTATCATATTGCTGGACTGCAAGTTTTCACGTGCCAAGAACCCTACCTTCAACATCTCTGTCTGGTCTGAAATTCCAATCTGTGGGGAAACTGTGCTGCCTTCTCCCTCTGTCTCCCCAAGAGCTCGCTGGAAATCAATTCTGACTCCGATACTCTGCGTAGTCAGTGACCGGGAGGCAATATAAACCAGCATGCAAAACAGGAGACACAGAAAATATCTTGGGAACTATGAAACAGCTTGTTCTAACATTATTTTGTTAGAAAACTACAACATGCCAAAAAGATACAGTTTGTGGAGAAATCTCAGGGTTTATACTTCCTCTTGCAGCACATCAGAAAGGCCATGGGTGAGACTAGGCCAGTGGACTCTTTGTGCTCATCTGGTTCTCTTGCTTCTTAATCTCACAGTCCTTTGCAAGGTAAAGGCAAATCACAAATATTCAGTCCACTCTCGTAAACAAGTATACCGGCAGCACCTTAAATTCAGACATTCTCACCACCCAAGGTTTAACAGCGATTACCTCCTGTTTAGGCAGGAAGACCGAGTCCTCCTTCTCCAAAAATGAGAACAAGATTATTATGCTGCAGAATCAGCCCTTTTGCTAAATCTCTGCATATTTGAACTGCTCAGTTGTCCCAGTTCTGGTTTTCATGCTCACCTGTAATATGTGCTCTCCTGGTTTCTCCCATCTCCAGAGGAGGGCGAGTATTTCCTGAAGGTACTCATCCCCAGCTACGCGGCCGGTTCCATCATCGGCAAGGGGGGCCAGACTATTGTCCAGCTGCAGAAGGAGACCGGAGCCACCATCAAGCTGTCGAAATCCAAAGACTTCTACCCAGGTAAGAGAGCGATACGGAGAAGGGGATTAATCTCCTGAAGTACAACTGTACCCTTTGGGTGCATGAGGGTATTAACAGCTGTGCCCAACAGGGAAGCTGTCTGCGCGATTAGAATTCAGTTCCAGTGAAGAAGCACAGCAGCTCCCCTGAATACTGCTAGCAGCCAGGTCAGCGGTAATGAAACCTGGGGTCAGTTACTGTACAAGCATTTGTGTTGTCCAGTTCTAGCAGTAGACAGCAGTGTGCGCGGTGGTGAAGGCAGAGTGAAACATCAAGCACAGGGAGTCCATGGCTGTAAATGAAGAGCTGAGGTTTGATAGAAACCAGCACCTGCAAAGCCTCAGCATGGGAACTGGTTACCACAGACGGTTACCGTGCCCCCTGCACGCGACGCACTCATTTTACCTCCATTGTGAACGAAAGGCAGCTGATTCTGGCTCCTTGGCACAAGCGAGGGAGCAGAGGGTGTTTTCCTGACGGGTCCGCTCCGTGCTCAAGCACGATCAGATCAGCTGAATTCTGTGCTTCTGTCTTTGCGTCTGTCCATTTTGCCCCCCCACCATCTGAACTGCTCAGAGAGTGTTGAGGAGGAATGTGTGAAGTGTGTCCCGGCCTCGCCCCCGGTTCATCCTGGGACACACATCTCCCCTTTCCTGGCTACTCTCCGCCTGTCGACGACGTTACAGCTGCTGTTTCCAGAGACCTCTGTGACGTCTCTGCCCAGCGGCTGAGCTCGCAGAATGAGCAGCACCTTGGAACAAGCTCGTTAGAGCGCCCTGTGCTCTCGTCCACAGGCAGCTCAGAGCACGTGTTTACAGGAAACACAATGAAGGAGACCTGGGAGAGGCTCCAGCACAGAACTCCTGCCTGAATTCGAATACAGATTCCAGTGTGACTGAGTTTCCTCCCTTCGCTAGTCAGCCAAGCGGCTCGGCGAACCATCTTTCTGCATTCGATTCCTGCCCTGGTTCTGCAGGCCAGCATGGCAGATGTCAGATGGGGGCCTTTGTGATATTCTTTGGAGCTGGCAGTCCTGACTTGCCCGTGCTGAAGAACGAGCTATTTGATCGCTGGTGAAGTTGGCCGTGGATGTGTTCTGTGCGCCTGAGAACTATCCAGAACAAATGGAGGGTGGAGGATCTTTCCTTCCGAAAAAGGCGGGGGAGAGGGGGGGCATCTGTATGTAAATGAGAAGATGCTCTTCCTGGGCTGCGGCTGGCATGTGGTGATGACTCCAGCAAAGCTGAGGGCTGTGTGTGCGTCCGTATGTCCTGTACACGTGTGTGTGCATGCGTGCGTGAGTGTACCTGTGTGTGTGTGCATGTGTGCACGAGTGTGTGAGCATGTTCGTGCACATGTGTGTGCACACGTGTGTGCGTGTGTGTGGCAGCAGAGATTCAGTGTGCAGCACAGGGAGTTAGCTCACCAGCTCTCCCTGGTCCTGGTCTTGACTGTCAAGGGCACCTTTGCTGGTGTAGGAAGAGGGCTGCAGCAGTAAACAGGACTCCTTCTGATTGAGGGGTTTGCCGCAATATTTAATCACATTATGAGCTTCTGGCCACTGTGGTTGGGCCATATTTTTAAATTGATTGCTCAGGTACCAAAGACGTACCAAAATGCAGGGTATTTCATGTTCGAGATTTTGTGGCGAGTGCTTTCCTCTCTGTAGCTGGTTGCGGATCTCTCTTCAGCTCAGTGTCATCCATCACTCCAGGTTTCTCATCTTTTTTGAAAGCAACCAGATTTCAGCAGCGTCTCCTTCCACTGAAAGGGAGAGGGCTGAGGACTGTGTGCTTATCCAATACTGGCCGTGCCCTTGTCTCAATGTCACAAGCTACAAAAGGATGGAAAGTCCTTAGAAAATCAAGCGGGGTCAAACTGGCAAAGCGTTTTACCCAGATGTGACATTTGCAATAATTATTATTGGTACAAAAAACAAAATAGCACCATGTCCTTCACAGTTGTTTTTTAACAGTTTTCTAACATCATCTGACTTCTATACTCATCAAAAGCATGTGTCTGATGGCTGGAATTAGAGGGTGGGCGAAGTGGACAACACTCTTCCTGAAGTGCAGGGATATCTTTGGTCCTGTGTGACTTTCCAGCAGACAGAAATGTGTGGAAGACCGATGTTGTATTCTCCTGGTGTTCTTCATTTTCACATTCGGAAGAGGTTGACTTGGCACGTCGCATGACAGTAACCTAAGGCCCCTCTGGTCATCACCCTGTCGATCTGAGTGCAGAGGAATATTAAAGCTTTATCTTAATCCTGCGCTGTGATTGCGTTTTTCAGTATTTAATTCCCAGCCTAGCTCCCTTGCATTTATGGACATCACCGGTTTCTGTGTTTTAAGAAGATTAGTGCTTAAGCTTTTTTTTTTTCAGACCCAAGGATTAAAATGTGTAATGTTGCATATAACTTGTGGACTGAAATGATTTTTTTTCCTCCTAAATTTATGCTCCCAAGAAAAATGGCTTGAATTTACATCATCTTCAAAAACACAGCTCTGCCTCCTCTATCTGGTGCTTGAATTCTTCCCCAGCAGTCAATAGAGTCCAGTTTAAGAAGAGAGAGACACACAACTACAGCTAAGGGGCTAGGGCTGTGATGGGCAGCTGTGTCATGAGTACAGCGTATCTTTTTCCCTCATTGGACACCATAGCGCACCCAGGCCTTCCCATATTATCACACCGTACTGCCTAAGTGGCTTCAAAAAGGCAAAGAAAGAGCTCTCCTGAACTCCTCCTGCTCAGAGTGCCCGGGAGTTCAGCAACAGGGTGAATGAGGGTAGTAGTACCAATGGGGTGAATACACCAGCCGACGATTTCTCAGCAGCCAATCAAAAGCCACCATGCTCATGAGTACAGGGCCATTACCCATAACCCCCCACGCAGGCGAAGAGGTCAGGTCCAGCACTGATTTTAAACACTGCAAGAACTGCAATATCCTAAGCCTGCGCTTATTTATTTATTTTTCCATTGATGACCACTGAAATCCACACAGAGACAACTGCGTTTGACCAGATTCATCACATTAATAGTACTTTTTGTGAGCCATGACAATAAAATAGGATGCTATTTTAACAAATGCACAAATGTTCTCACGTCTTGAGTGCCAGACCTTGTTATTTAAAATCAAAATTGAAGTGTTGAAGTGGGATAATGTGCAGTTCGGGGAGCCGTGGCAGCTCAGACAGCAGGGGCGTCCGGCTCCTGACCGGAAGGTCCCGGGATCAATCCCAGGTAGGGGCAAGCGATGGAGCTCTTATTCCTTCCAGGCGGCTCCCAGGTCACTCAGCCTGCTGAATGAGGACCTGGGTTAATCCTTCTGGGGGTAACAGGCTGGCCGGAGCGTGCTGCTGACCACATCACCGCCACCTCCAGTGTCGGATGGTTGAGAAAAATGGTGGCTCTTGCCCCCCCATTGCCCCTGGGCCTTGATGGCCCGAAAGGGGACCTTACCTACCAACCTAATGTGTAAAGCATAAACACTGCAGAATATATTTGCCCTGGGACAGTGCTTTGATGCAATTGACCCAAAAACACTTTAGGGGTGTTAGGGGTGGGGTTTCTAAATAAGCCCGGCTATATCAAAACCTGAAACCTCATTCATCATTCTGTCACTGTGAAGATAACAAACATGATTAACTCCCAGTTAAATTCGCTGTCTGGGGAGTTCTTTACTATAGGGTGTTTCTCCTACTGGGGGTACAATTGAAACAGGGCTCACATGAACTTTAGCCTGTGAAAATAATTACATTTACGCTGCATATTTTATCACTGGCTCATGTGCTAAGGTTTGCTTTGGTGCCTGAGATTGTGCGTATTAAAGCAAAACTGCTTAACGATATGAATGCAAACAAGAACTTCTGCGAGTGTCGTGGCAGCAGGCTTCTGCAGGCGGGAGGAGGGGCCACTTGCATCTTGAAAAGGTACCCTAGTTCATTCATCGTTTACCACAGTAATTTCGTGGAAGATGAATAAGGTATCTCCTGCAAAACGTATGTTTTGTCACTGCAGCCACACAAATATTCAAAACACAGCTATGTTTCCAACCATAACTCTAAATAGCACAGTTTTAGTCTGTGTATAAAAATAATGCATCTAACCAATGTATCGACAGTCTTGCTTCTTTTTTGACTGTAATAATAATTATGAAAATAATTGCTTACACTTATATAGCGCTTTCCTGGACACTCAAAGCGCTTTACAGGTAATGGGGATCCCCTCCACCACCACCAGTGTGTACCCCCACCTGGATGATGCGACGGCAGCCATAGTGCACCAGAACGCTCCCCACACACCAGCTATCAGTGGGGAGGAGAGCAGAGTAATGAAGCCAATTCATAGATGGGGATTATTAGGAGGCCATGATTGGTAAGGACCAATGGGAAATTTGGCCAGGACACCGGGGTTACACCCCTACTCTTTTCCAGAAACACCCTGGGATTTTTAATGACCACAGAGAGTCAGGACCTCGGTTTTACGTCTCATCCGAAGGACGGCGCCTGTTTACAGTGTAGTGTCCCAATCACTATACTGGGGCATTAGGACCCACATGGACCGCAGGGTGAGCGCCCCCTGCTGGCCCCACTAACACCTCTTCCAGCAGCAGCCTTAGTTTTTCCCAGGAGGTCTCCCATCCAGGTACTGGCCAGGCTGAGCTTCAGTGGGTTGTAATGTGGGTTGTGGAGCGTAAACTATATGTAAATGCCTCAGATTATGATTTTTGTAATTGATTGTTTCCGTAGTTATATCTGAGTACAGGGAATTGCATTCAGACCCCAGAGCGGGAGGCACGAGTTTGCCCAGAGGGTGGTGGGAGTGTGGAACAAGCTGTGCCGTCGTGTGGTTGAAGCTGACGCTCCAGCGGGGTGAGATCCTCTCGAGTGCAACTGGTCTCACATCCCGACACTGGGGATCTGTAAGCAGGTCTGAACTGTCACTGGCTGCACACTGGAGGCACGGGGATCTGTACAACCCGTCGGTCCGGTCGAGTT